GACCGCCATCCAACATTTGTGATATGCACAAATATCTGGAGTATTTTTACTCAAGAGTATTTTTACTCTTTCTCCGCAATTTATATTGATTTTTTATTAAACATGATTTGGGCGCGCAAAACAAATCCAAATATAATAATATATACAAAAATATAATTACTAAAGAACTATCAAAATATTTATATGGAAAGACGAAAAGAAAAGATTAAAGTTTAATGATTAATTATAAATATAAATGTGGAAATGAGACAAAGAGATACTATACAATATTGGAGAGAAGAATGGACTATGTAAAAAAATTATATAGGAATTATTAATAATTAATTACTTCATGTTTTAGGATGTATCATTATCGTCTGCATTAATAATGTTAAATATATCGTAAGTTACAACAAATCATTTACAAATCTTATTATTGTATTTTATTATTGTTACGTTTCATTTTCTCATTTTATAAAATCTTGTTTATTTATTATTCCGCAGCACACGATACTATAAAATGCCTTTATTTGTATAATTTTTGTCAATTAATAAATGTTACATATAAGTATTAATAAACATTATACAGGAAATATATAAAAGCATTAAACGCAATACACGTATAATGCAAATAAAATATCCTCTTTTATAAAATTCCATTTGCAAATATAAACAATGTTATACATACATATAACAATGTTGTATATGTATAACGTCCAAACAACGTAACGCATACCTAATTTTCCAGTGAAAATAACTAATAGCGACTCATACCGTTTCTCCGTTGCATGCATCACGCGTGTAAAAATAGAGGCACAAGAAGACAACAGATCGTATGACATAATCCAGTATCTGTACACCGATTTTACGAGATTTACGATAGTCTGTATCGTTATAAGATAGGGAACAACACATTGCCAGACAGACAATGTCTCTATTATTTTACGGCCTTCCCCGTGCGCGTATCTTACAGTATGAAGGTGACTGAACGACTTTAAAAAAGAAAAAAAAAAGACATCCCAGATGCATTACCATCGCTTATCCATTAGCAGACACGAAATTATCTTTAAATAACTTGCCTTCGCAATCGCAAATGCGAAGAAAGAAAAGAGCGGTTTACGAATGGTGAATTTATATGCGAGAAGTTACAATTCCGTGCACATATTCCACGCTCATTAACATTCACGACGATGTAGAACAGTCACGTCAGTTTTTATTCAAATATAACAGTTCCAACAATACTGTAATTGATAAAATAAAATTTTGTTTACTAAAAATTTTCTTTGTGCTCTTCCTTAAATCTAATAGCTTTTATATTCCATGTAAACATTGTTTATAAACACTTAGGGCCTAAGGGCCTAAGAATTGTGCCTTTACTCCGCGCGCCCATCTCCTCAATATTAAAATTTTTGCACGCGTGAAGTATAAATATACGTACGATAAATCCATTTAAAAATGATTGATTTTAAATTGATTGGTCATCTCTACCAATATTCTGTATCTTAAACCGTTTAGAAGTTGAGTCGTTTAAAAAGCATTGTGACTTTGAAATTCCCGTAAAATTTTATATTCTTGGAAAGCATTATGATTATTGCATTAAAAACTTTATATTAATATATCTATATATTATATATCTTTACGTTATGTACACGGAAAGAATTTTTTTTTAAATTTACCCTGAAAATGTAGTAATTGTGGTACAATACAATATTTTAAAGATTTTTACCAAGCACTTCAGTAAAATTGATCAAACTTAGTTTTATACTTTATTGTACTTTTATTAATGAACGAGAGAGAGAGAGAGAGAGAGAGAGAGAGAGAGAGAGAGATTTACATTAAAATTCTTCGAAATACAATGTTATTCTACGACTGTCATAATTTTAGGGTAAATTCTAAGAAAAAATTTTCTCCGTGTAGAGCAGAATTGCTTACTGATTACCTATAAATCGTACTTCATCAATAATTTATATTATTACTTTATATAAGCAATATTTGATAACAATAATATATAATAAATGAATAATACAGATAAAAATGTAACAGGCTACGGGTCGGTTGTTTCATCTTCAGATAAATTATGTGATAATTCACTTATTGAATAAACAAAATAGTAAAAGAATAAGAGCATAAAAGAGTAAGAGGGTAATAAGATAGCAAGCTGCAGTTTACGGAAAAGTGGAACAACCCAGTCTTATTTTATACATCTTATTTTATGGACGTAAGCAACATTTGAAAAAGTACATCTGATATTAATTTTTTATTCACTTATATAGTTGATAATAACTTAATTGTCTAATTTTACTATAAATTTTTGTATTTTCATAGAGAAAAGATTTATTGTAGAATATTTTATTACATATACGCATTTGTAACAATTATAAAGATTAAATCGATTTTTTTACAAAATCCATCAAATTTCCTAAATCGTGCCATCACAAAACAAGTCTAATAATTGGCAATAATAATACTAATAATTAATATAAATACAAATGTCAAATGCAGAAATATATATATTTAAATCAATTTGATTTTAATGTCATTTGTCTTTTTATTATTGTTTTTTAACAATTATAAGATATTAAATTTTTTAAATAAATGATTAAAATTAGGCATTAGTTAATTATTAGATATTATTTAATGATATAATTTCTATTATTAATCTTACACTCTTTTAATTATTTTCAATTATAAATTCAATACTTCAAAAGGAAATACAATTTATATGATTTTAAAGACCTATAGATACGATTTAGGCGACCGATTGCTTAAATCATATCTTTTACAGCATATTACAAAAAGACTTATAACAATTAATTTGTTATTATGTGAAAAGTTAAATATAGTATAAAAAAAGGACTTAATAATATCAGCTAAATATCAGTTCAAACTTTGCTAAAAGTTGGCTATTTAAAATAAAATATATTTATACCGACGTTCAGCTTTAATTAAACTTAAAAGCGTACTTAACACAAGTAGCTAAGTAAATGGTAACTATTCCTCACTATCTTAGTAACCGATCAGTGTCACAATTCCTTTCGCAATTGTTTTTGGGACGCTGCCGGCTGCCTGTGCGTAAAGCCTAATCTACATTGGTCGTATTATGGCGTTGCAAGCATCGTGCGACTTTAAAATTGACACATCGGATTGACTGATGTAATAAACCTGCGACACCTACGACATGACCGATGTAGGCTTAATATCGTATTAAGCGACATTGTGTGGCGTGCTCATCGCGTCTACCACAGTGTATTTCCAATTTCATATATTTTGATTTATTCTCTAATACGATAGATCATCTATTTATCCATTTCTCAAGAGAGAAACATAAATATGAGCAAATATAAAAATTTATTCGATATACTTGCGCAAACGACTTGCATAAAAAAATCGGAGCGTGTGTGGCACGCTTAAAATCTAAACAGAACATCTGTTTGCGCATTGCTTATTGCACTTTTTGCATTCAGTATCTTTGTCTTCTTTTTTTTTTAATATTTGAGTGTAGATTTTAAGCATGCCACATACGCTCCGATTTTTTTTTGTGAGTTGTTTGCACGAGCATATCGACTGAGTTTTATTTGTTCAAATTTGTGCAAGCCAAAATAATTCTGTAGTTGTTTGACATACGTTCAAATAAATTTTCACAAACAGCTTGCGCAACTTTTGCTTGCGCAAAATTCGAACACACAGAGGAAATATCAGCCAACAGCTAAAATACGCAGTTAAAATGTGTTCTTATAATAGGAACAGTTAATGTCGTTGTTGTCAAAACTCAATTTATTAGCTACTAAAATTTCAGTGAAAAATACTCGCTGTTAGAATAAAATAATGTTTAGTTAAATATATTAATCTAATTTCTTTTAACAATAAAAATTAATAATATTTACAGCAAGATTGAGAATTTTAGCTGACATTTTATAAGTATGCTTCGCTGTTGGTGCTAAGATGATTTTATAGCCACTTCAGCTATCAAATTTGATAAAGAAATTTTATATTAGCTAATACGTTTAAAAATATTTTATACACGGGAAAAAATGTTGAAAAATTTGCCAACAGCAATTTAATCAAAAGTATTCATTCAATAACAGTATTACTGAAATAAATAACTTTTTAAAACAATAGTATTGCACAATTGTTCTATTAGTACTATAAATTAACAAGATTATTTTCAATTAGATGCTAATGCTTAATCTAACATTATTTTTCTTAACTTGTTCAGGTCTGATTTTATTGAAACATTTGAAACCATATTAACATTTTTTTTAAATTCAGTTCATGCGTACTTAAATAAATAATTTATACTAAACAATTATTTTTTTCAAAATTTTGACTATTTTTCCATTATATACCTACATTATTATACATCAGATCGAAAGAATTAAATAATTCCAACAGATAATGTCTTCAAATTTGATGTACATTACAATGTATATTAGGTCTGAAGGGTTAAGCGATAAGAATCTTATTGGACCGTACATGTGAAAATCAATATGAAAAAGGGCTCACAACGATCAAAGCTGTATCTTTGGTACTTAAATAATTTGATGTGAATTTACATACTACATATGTATCATGGCGGAAGGAATATAGGTGTGCTCTTGCGCATTTTAAACATAAGAGCGGTACTCAGAAGGCGCCATATTACCGCGGTTATTTGAAGTTGGCGTTATGTCATTATGTCATTATGTCATTATGTTATGTTGCTTCATTTCCTTTGAAAATCGAAAAAAATATAATTTTCTATATTTTTTTTTTCGGGAACTCTTTGTACATGTTTTTATTTGACACGTATTCATTTTCGCGATATATCACTTCAAAGTTACCGCGATATAAATGTTTAAGATGGTCGCATCTGGTTGTACACAGAACGGTATGAAATTCGTCTCAAAAACGACCACACCTATATTACTTCCATCATGCTACTTATGTAGTCCTTCAAACTACGCGCCGAAATTATTTTTCGATCATTCAACATTATTAAGATTGTTTTAAGATGTTAATGAACATCGAATTGTTAAATTGCTAGTCATTTAACTTATGATACTACTGCGATAGTTCAGTACATTTTGCGTTTCAGGACCAAAAAATCATTTAATAGCTGATATACTAATTTAATAGTTGAGAACTTCTTCTTTTGAAAAATGGGGGGGGGGGATAAATAGATGATCCATCTTACTAGAGACTATAAATCAAAATACATAAAATCGGAAATACATTGCGATAGACGCAATGAGCATGCCATACAATATGACTACGTTTACATAGCTCGATTTGCGCCGAAGTTATAACATCGATGTTATAACTTCAACGTAAATTGAGCTGTATAAACGTAATCATGGCCGCCAATGTAATATTAAATGCAGGCAAGCCGCAGCGTTCCAAAAACAATTTCGAATGCTCAATTATGCGACTAAGATAGTGAGGAATAATCATTTACTTAGCTACTGTTAAGTACGCTTTTAATTTTCACTAACAAAGCTGTGTGGCAACGAATACATTTTATCTTAAATAGCCAACTTTTAGCAATAACAACAAAGTGTGAACTAATAACTGAAATTTAGCTGATATTACTAAGTCTTTTTTTTGCATAAACGTGTGTGGCCAGTCTTATCAACAGTTGTTGCTCGTTTAGCGACAGCCAATGTAAGGACGATCTTGGAAAAAACGCGGCTCTTATTGGTTGTTGCTAGTGATAATGACAATCATCTAGAAGACATTATAAAATGTCGCTACTAATTTGGAACTGCTCATTTATACATATATATATAAACCCGTCAAACAGCCCACATCAGTCATATAAGTTAGTCGGAGTTGTGAATTGTACGGAATTAAAAATCCATTATGTCCCGCATAATGATAATATTATTCGCTTTTGGATTAGCGATATTTGTTGCTGCAGGTAATTGTACATTTAATAATATTAATTTTCTGTATTTTTACAAAAAAAATTTGCTGATGTAGTATAAGTTAATAAATATTTGTTTCTTGTCGGAATGTTTTTATGAAATGGCTCACTAAGCACAAAAAAATCTAAGTTATATTTACAATATATGTATAAATTCTCTCTTATTAGAAAAGCAATATTTTGTCTCTTTTTTTTTTTGTTAATGCATTGTAATGCACGATCATTTTCAGACGTGTTTGTACTTTCTGATTGTCTTTGTGAAAATGAAGAATTGAAATGTGGATCATTCTGTCAAAGAACTTGTCAAACCTTGGATAAACCTTGTGCTGTAGTCTTCGTAAGTGCATTAATGAATTAATATTTAATATATTCTAATATTTAATATATTATATTATATTAAAATTTATTTTATAATTAATCATATCATTATCATTAATGTAACATCTGGTAAAATTTTTCACATGTGCGTATAATTACACAGAGCAACAAAGTTAAATTTCTCAAAGTTGTTTTAAAAGTATATATTGATTTTATAGGAATTTATTAATCCAAAATTAAAAATAATCTCAAATTTGCTCCATTACCCACAATTCTTTTACAACAAAAAATTAACTCTTAGAATATATTTTAAATATATTTAAAATAATTTACAAAAAAAATTACAAGAATTATACAATTCGATTATTTACATTTAAATTTTATATAAGAGCTTAGTAGTAATCCTTCTTTTGCCAGAGAAGTTGCGTTAGCTTTTTCTTGTTTTTTTATTTTCACGGTGTAATATCCAGTAATAATGTCCCATTCTCATAGGAGAGTATATAAATTTTTTTATTATGCAGTGTTAAAACCACATTTATATTTTGTGTAGCAGATAAGAAAATTAAATGTTATAAAATAATTGTGTGACACGACACAATTTTTATTGTTTTTCGAATTTAACATTTAAAAATGCATCAAAAATATCGGAACATGCTAAATTAAAAATCAATATAAAATTGATAAAGTAAAATATAATAAAAAGATTATAATCTTAAAAATATACTGTCGATTTTTGCCTCTTTAATATCATTTTTCTCAAAATTGTGATGTGAGAATCAAATTTGGACAGCGTTTTTGTATGTAGTAAGCAAGAATACATTAGAAATAACTAAAATAGTTGAAACAATTTTTTTCATATTGCCCTGTGTTATATATGATAAAATGTTGTGCCGGATATTTTAAGTATTTCTGTTTATAATTAATATCATTAATTTTGTTAATTTTTTTCAGGCATGTGGTTGTTACTGCAAAGAGGGATACGTGCGAGCCAAAAATCCTTGGGATGCATGTATCGAAATAGAGGACTGTAACTAAGGGGCAAGTCTAGTGGATAAATAATTACGTAACTTTAATATTGATTGTTTACTTCTATTTTTGTTCGCATTATTATCAATTTTTGTATCTAGCATTATATTATAATGCCAATACGTTTTTAATTAAATATAAATACTTATACTTGTAAAATCTATCGGTAATTTTATGATATACGTATATCTAAATAAAATATATTTTATATAAATATATTCTACTTAAAAATATTTAAAAATCTGATAATTTCTTTTCTAAATATCTATTATTTTTTACTCTTTTACATGAAAGATGCAAAATAGTTGTTACACAATTTACGAAAAATTAATTTAATATAAATAGTGTGGTACATCTTTTATTACATCACATTTCTTTAAGAGATGTTATTTTTTTATATTTCAACACATTTTATAAAATTAAATTGCATTATACAAGTGAATAAAGCAACCATCGCTACAGTACAAATAATTAGACTTCCTAAGACACATAGGATAATAGACTCAGTCAACATCATATAAATGCTAATAAAATGCTAATAGAATATTCAAAATTGCGAAAATGCTCGTCACTCTACCAACAAGGATACGTAAATTAATGATGAGGACATACGCATTTTTACCACAATGGCCTCAAAAATTAGTCTTCGGATTAGCAGTTTAAGTATAAAAGATTAATCTTTTTATCTCAAAGATCAAATTATTTTTATATTTTTTATTTGCTGCAGCTTATGAGTTTTTTAAGAAAGGATATTTTTTATAAATATGCATAAATATAAGTACATTAAAAATATTTACATATCATATTGTTATTATCTTTTCGCTTACAAAATCAGGAAAGAAATTAAGAAACAAGAAATCACTTTTTTACTTTTTCTTATCTTACTACATCTCATATTTTTTTGCTAGTTATATAAAAGATTATTATCTTCTTAGTACGTTATACTGTTAATGATTTTATGAGATAACGACCTTGCACCATAATCTAAGTAAGTCTAAGTAAGTGAATATATTTTCCGCACATCTTCCTCAGTGCACTGAGCGCAGATTCGAATGAAGCTATTCTTCCGGAATGTTGTTCGCTAACAAGATAATAATGCTCGACTCAGAGTACACACAACGGAAGTCGGAAACCCCGCCTTTCGGGATCGGCTTCGCGTTTGCTTTAATCCGCTTTTCGGATTAGCAAAGCTATTCCATAGTCGTCGTCCGGTTACTGACAGCCCTGTTACGTCGAACGGAGTAACCGGCTCGATGTTCGAACGCACAATCGCGTAAGTCAAACAGTTTGGCCGGTGTTCTGAAGAGGTGCTGCAATATTTGGCCCCGTAATGTAATCCAGAAGTAGAGAGAGGACGAATTTCAGAATGTCCCGTATCTCTTCCACACCTAGGCGAATTCTCGTCGAATATTGTATGGTAGCTTCAAAATTTCCGACGTAGTTCTTTGTACAGATTCGCCGACATATTTAGAACGTGATTCGAGATTAAAATGCACTGAACAGCGTACGATTACAAACCGTTGCTCACGCGAACGCGATTCATACGCTTTGTCGATCGCATTAACGCCGCGAGCGATCGGTGAACGATGCACGATGCGAGGAAATGCGAAGGTACACTTGGTCTAAAAATTGTGTACATCCAATATCAGTAATCAAAGAAAGAAGGACATGTAAAATATCCTATAATCCTCAATATTGTTTAACATTTCTGTATTTATTTAAAATTACTTTCTGATACTCAAAATCTTACATTTTATGAAATTTTGATTTTTCCTTATGTATGTATTTTTAGATTCGTACATTACATTCTTACGCTTAATGATATTTATACGCTAATATAATAATAAATGATTCCAATCTGCTGTTTATATGCTCTCGATATTTACTTTCAACAATTGATAAAAACTGTTATTTAATAATTTCTCGAGTTACAGATTTACGAAAATTAAAAATGATATAGAATTTTTTGTACATTGTTTGTCATTTTCCATCGAACAAGTGTAGTTCAGTGTAACTTTTGTGAGTAAGTGTAGCTCGAATGAAATACACACGTGGTGAATCCAGCTCGAGTTTCGCATGCCGCACGTGCGACGTTCGAAACCCTCTCGTGCCAAGAGAGCAATAGACAAAGAGGAGTATATTCGTTGACGTCCACCAAGAGAGCAAGGAGAGATGGACGCCGGTGCCTGAGGGGTTGCTCGAGTTCCTGCCGGCATTTGTTTAATTGGGAACCGACATGGTCGCCATGGCACCCTTCTCGATCGACCATTTTATACCCGTCCACATGAAATCTCTTTGAAATTCACGAACGACGCACGAAAGCTACTCACAGAATGTAAATAATTTCTCCATATTTTCCTCGTATTGCACGGGATTGTAAAATATATATATATGTGTGTGTGCATACATATACATATATACACTGGGCAACAAAATTAATGCAACATCTGTTCACTCTGCAAAAATAGGCAAATTTCCAGATACAATAATTTCAAAAATTGTCATATCGGGATGTTTAAAAAAGCATTTTACAAATAGAAACCTCTATTTTTCGGACCGCTACTTAAAAAAATGGTCTCATGGAGATTTCATGAAGTTACACAAACATAAATGAAGATATATCAGACCTCAAAATTTGTTTGAAATTTGCGAAGCTCCACGGAGTATAATAAAAATTGTATATAAATGCGATTTACATCATTCGAAAGAGCGAACCTTCACCTGTAATTTACTTTTTTACGAAGCTCCGTACAATTTTTTTTCATCGAGTTATTCAACGTTGAAGCAAAAGGACCATTTTTGCTTCAACGTTGAATAACTCGATGAAAAAAAATTGTACGGAGCTTCGTAAAAAAGTAAATTACAGGTGAAGGTTCGCTCTTTCGAATGATGTAAATCGCATTTATATACAATTTTTATTATACTCCGTAGAGCTTCGCAAATTTCATAAAAAATTTTGTGATCTGATATATCTTTATTTACGTTTGTGTAATTTCATAAAATCTTTACGAGACCGTTTTTTTAAGTAGCGGTTCGAAAAGTAGAGGTTTTTTCCTGTAAAATGCTTTTTTAAACATCCTGGTATGATAATTTTTGACGAAGTTATTGTATTTTGACTGAGTTATTGTAATTTGCTTATTTTTGCAGAGTGAAACAGGTATTGCGTTAATTTTGTTGCCCAGTATATATATATATATATATAT